ACGGGGCAGACTTCCCCATGTGCACGCAGTTCTACACCGTCCTTTCGGGCGACGACTGCGACATCATCATGAAGCGCTTCAAGCTCTCTCAGCTCTCCTTTTACGCGCTCAACCCCGGGCTCAGCTGCGCGGCGCTCTTCCCCTTCCTCAGCGGGCCCGACGAGGATGGCGGCGACCAGGACGGGGGGCAAACACTCAGTGGCACGCAGGTGAGGGTGGGGATGAGTAACTGGGTGCTTCTTGGGGATTCAAGCTCTCCGCCCTCTCCTTCTACGCACTCAACCCCGGCCTCAGCTGCGCGGCTCTCTTCCCCTACCTCAGCGGGCCGGATGAGAACGGAGGCGACCAGGATGGAGGGCAAACACTCAGTGGCACGCAGGTGAGGGTGGGGGTGCTTGGGGGGCCTTTCCCCAGGCACTCACGGGCACCAGGTACAGGCCTAGTTGGTCCTCAAGACAAGGCAAGGCCCTGCCTGCTCCTTGGGTGTTCAAGCCCTCTGCGCTCTCCTTCTAAGCCCTCAACCTTTTGAGAATTCTCAAAAGCAACTCAGATTTAGCTGTCTGCACTCTCCTTCTAGGCCCGCAACCTTTTGAGAATTCTCAAATAAACTCAGATATAGCTCTCTGCACTCTCGTTCCAAGCCCTCAACCTCATCCTGTACAGAATCTCCACACCGGCCTCTGTTTTCCCTTCCACTTTGGGCCCTCACTGTCACTGCCACCGTGCCTTGGGAGGGAATCGACTCAACAGCCACCTGAGTTGTGCCTCCTGTTCCTCCCTCTGCTTCCCTAAACCCTGCAGGAGTGCATTTCGGGTTTCACAGTCAACGCCACCGGGCCTGCTCCTGCCCGCTTCTTGGGAAGCATCAAAATCTCATTGACACCCCTGTTCCTCCGTCTACTTCCCTCCCTACAGGTGTGCATTTCGGGTTTCACAGTCAACGCCACTGGGCCTGCTCCTGCCCGCTCCCTCCGCACCCTCGGCCCTCGTCCCACCCTGCAACACACCCCCAACAAGCTCGATCCACACCCGCGGCTTGAGAGGCTTGATAGGCCCGAGAGGCCTGAGAATCTAGAGAGGCTCGAGAACGCATGGGTGACAAGAGAAACTCGGCTGTGGGAAGGATATCACCATCAGCAGCAGCAGCTGCAGCAGGTGCAGGTGCAGCAGCGGCAGCGGCAGCGGCAGCAGCAGTCGTGGCAGCAGTGGATGCATGAGCTCTTCACTGAGATGGCGGCGTTGGGGCCTCACATGAGCAGGCAGAAAGGGCTGTACCACCCTGGCTTTGGCTTCAAAGGCGCCTCAGTGGCACTCCAAAAGAGGCTGCTAGCAACCACGAAAGCCCGGCGCACCCGCCCCAAGTGCCTTGCGTATTACTCTGTGCAACGCGGGGACTTTTGCGCGCGGATCATATCGCTAAAGTTTCAGAACAGTTCGCGGAAGATGGCGGAGTTGAACAATGGATACGTGTGTACGAACGATAGGTTGTATGTGGGCATGTCGCTTTGCACGCGGAAGTGAGGTAGGGTCGAGTTTGGCAATGTGGTAAACAGATTGCTTTAGTTTTGCAATGATTAATGCGTTTTGCAGCACTGTATATTTTCTGTACCAGGTTGATTGCAATTTCAGCAACTCCTTGCGCGAGGCCATTTTACATGTGAAGTACACAGATGCTTACTACGCATATACCATTATCTATGATGGCTGATATTCTCAAGCGGATATGAATGTAGCTTAGTGTACACCAGACATTGCCATAATGTGCTTAGTGTACCCTGGCTACAATCCCTAACCCGTTTGGTCCGAACTTCAGGACAAGCTTGGTGATACTGTACTGTAGGCATGTGGTGGACGGTCGGTGGCCGCGAGGAGACAGTTACGCGCCTCGGGTCTCGAATCTTACAGTATCTTGTTCTGTATGGAGCTTGAGGGAGTCTTGTCTCCTGTCGGGAGTCGGGGTCGGGGGACTCGGGTGGGGTGGTGGGAGGGGAGGGGAGGGGACTCTGGTGGGGAGAGGAGAGGGAGGGGATCCACATTTGCTAGGAAGGTGGGTACGAGGTGAGGTGTCCTCCCCCTCCGTAAAAAAGTGCTGAAACACACAAGTGTTACATGTTCCATTACGTTCCGTCAGGCTCTGTTCCGTTGCTCTGTGTCATGTCATGTTTCGTCTGGTACACTGTAACTCGTTCCTTTCTGTTCCCTCCCTCTGCTCCATCTCAGCAAGCAATCCGCCTTCTACGGATGGTCGGACCGTGTATGGGTGTGGTCCCATACTGCTGTCGGGCTCACGATGACAGCATTTCCAACTTAGCAAAGTGGGAATATATGCCATACGTAACCAACTTGGGACTCGATAACGTGAATTGTAAAAAAAAAAGGGTACGGTCACTGCAAGGGGTATTTTCACGCAACTGATAAAACGTTTCACGTAATCAGTCACTATCAACTGGTAAAAAAAAACGCGAATGGTCATAGATGAAACTCCCGCCAAAACAGAATGAAACCCAAAAGGAACCTGGATGCATTTTCGGAATCAACCCTAAACACGTAACTCGCCAGGTGTTTAGGGTTGATCCGTTCCCAAACCGCATCCGATTCCGATTGGGTTTCAGTTTTTCTTAAAGTTAGCTGATTGGTTGGACGCGAGCGGGAATTTTGTTGAGTTTCAAGTTTTTTTGGCGGGAGTAACATGTGTGACCATTCGCGTGATTTTTTACCTGTTGTTAGTGACTGAATCCGTGACCCCATTTACCAAGCCCGTCACGAAACCCGATATAGTGACCGTACGCGTTTTGTTTTACTACTTACGTTATCGAGTCCCATGTTGGTTACTTATGGCATATTTTCCCTAGCAAAGTTCACCCGTTGCTGACACGCACTCGTGAACCAATTACGACTACAGGTGTACACTAACATTCCCAACCTAAAAAAATACGAACTTTGAGTTTGACCTCTTTCAGGACTGGGTCTTCTTGAAGTTCGAATCCACCTCCATTGTGATTTTGAGCTTCGGGATACACCCAACAACCCAACTGGGGAGTGTAGTTCGACTGGGACCAACCCAACAACGCATTCGACGGCGTCTTCAACACGGGAGGCCGAATCATAGACAAGACGGTACTAGCCGTCATAGGTCTGTACATACATAGTGCGTTCTAGTCGCCGTCGTCGTCGCCGTCGTCGTCGCCGTCGCTACAACATACACGACTTTGTACAGTAGTAATAGTCGTGCAATGCAGATCAAGACTCGCGTGTGGTCGCAACTACTACCGTCAGTTATCTCGAGTTAAATAACGACTAGGGGTTGATAGCAGAACCACGACGACTTTTTTACGGACTATAAAAGAATAGAATCTTAATTTGTTGTTTCACTGCTAATAGTAGTGGCCTTCCCAGTCGCCGCTCGTCGCGATGCCGCCTCGTACCGATATCAATGATAGATCCAGCGACAGTCGCCAGCCGCCGTCGTCGCGGTCGTCGCCCTGCGACGTCGCATCGTCGTGTCGTCGTCATGCGATCGTGTTTTCGCTTCTCGTCATCATCGCGAGCTGCATCAGAACGGCGTCAGGTTAGAGCCTCGTTCCGTTTAGTAGAGTCTCCTATGGCTGTAGTCAATACTCATGTTGCCAGTATTCATCCATTATCGCGTTGCTTTTGAGAAATTTTATTTTGCGATTCCAGTAGCGAAGGGACCGTTCCCCCGTCTTCTACTACCGCATGGTGGTATTAACGGGGATAATCATCTGCCACACAAACAGGCCCGTTACCCTTCATAGTAATTCTTAGCCTGTAATCAGGAAGTACATACGGTAATACCTCCCGCACTCATGATGTCATTAGTGCGCCCCATCCCGCAATTTGAAGCGCCTCGACCATCGTCTTTTGACACTGTCCCCATTCCGCCGCTCCACTCTCCCGCGCACCCTCGACTCTCCGCTATTCTTTCCGCCGCTCCCCTCTCCCGCCCACGCCCCCTGTCCCCCCCGTTTCCCCATCTCCCCCCCCATATACTCCGCCAGCCCTGCTTTCCCCTTCCCCCGACCACGCCCTCCTTCCTGCCGCGCGTTCCCCCTTCCCCCACTCCTCCCCTTCCCCGGAGCTTGTATCTCCCCCCCGCTCTCCCTCCGCCGTCCCCTTTCCGCGCCTCCTCCTCTCACCCCTCTGCTCTCCCCTTACGCTCTCCGCCTTCCGTCCCCGTCCTTCCGCGCTCCCCTCGTATGGCGCGTACGGTATATATGCACACACTCAACCCACATGCAGCCCGTCCCGTCCTCTCGAGTTGACTTTTGAGTCGACTCAAAAGTCAACTCCTTCCGCGCTCCCCTCTTATGGCGCGTACGGTATATATGTACACACTCAACCCACATGCAGCCCATCCCTTCCTCTCCCCTCGTCCCACGCTCTCCCCTCGTCCCACGCTCTCCCCTCGTCCCACGCTCTCCCCTCGTCCCACGCTCTCCCCTCGTCCCACCCCTCCCCTCGTCCCACCCCTCCCCTCGTCCCACCCCTCCCCTCGTCCCACCCCTCCCCCAGCCTACGCCTGTAGCGCGGTTCCCAGCATTGCACTGCTACAGCCGAGGCATCTGACCGCGTGTCGAGACATGCGAGCACGGGGTATGACGGCGGCTGCTCTCCCTCCTTCCCCCCATGCACCCCCCACCCCCGCAGCCTACGCCTGTAGCGCGGTGCCCAGCTTTGCTCTGCTACAGCCGAGGCATTTGAACCGCGTGTCAAGATATGCGAGCATGGGGTATGACGGCGGCTGCTCTCCCCCTTTCCCCCCATGCACCCCCTTCCTCCCCCCCCCAACAGCCTACGCCTGTAGCGCGGTGCCCAACTTTGCTCTGCTACAGCCGAGGCATCTGAACCGCGTGGCGAGATATGCGCGCATGGGGTATGACGGCGGCTGTTCTCCCCCTTTCCCCCCATGCAACCACCCCCTCCCCCTCCCCCACAGCCTACGCCTGTAGCGCGGTTCCCAGCGTGGCGCTGGGTGCGACTGCTAGAGTGTTCCCTTTCCGCCCCCTGTTCCCATCCTCTCCCCTCATGGGGCGTGACGATGCTCTCTTTCCCCTCCCTCTTCCTCCCCTCCCCCGCCCCCCTCCCCTCCCCTCCCCCGCCCTCCCCCGCCCCCCCCCCCCCTCTCCCCCAGCCTACGCCTGTAGCGCGGTGCCCAGCTTTGCGATGCTACAGCCGAGGCATCTCAACCGCGTGTCGAGATATGCGAGCATGGGGTATGACGGCGGGTGCGACTGCTGGAGTGTCGACCTGAACGTGGACTGGCGCGAGCTTGAGGGCGTGCAAGGCGTGCGCAACGAGGGGGCTTGCAGTGAGTGCTGTGCGGTGGGGTGTGGTGTGCGTGCGGTGCTGTGCGGTGCAGTGTGCTAGCACGTGGGCTGGTGGGAGCATGGGGTATGATGGCGGGTGCGACTGCTGGAGTGTCAACCTGAACGTGGACTGGCGCGAGGTTGAGGGCGTGCAAGGTGTGCGGAACGAGGGCGCGTGCAGTGAGTGCTGTGGTGCTGTGCGTTGTGGTGTGGTGTGGTGTGCTGCGGTGTACTGTGGTGTGGTGCGGTGTGCTGTGGTGTGCTGTGCTGCGCTGTGCGGTGCTGTGTGCTAGCACATGATGGCTGGTCGGAGCATGGGGTATAGCAGCAGCTGTGACTGCTGGAGTGTTGACCTGAACGTGGACTGGTGCGAGCTGGACGGCGTGCAAGGCGTGCGCAACGAGGGCGCGTGCAGTGAGTAATGTGCTGTGCTGTGGTGTGCGGTGTGCTGTGGTGCGGTGTGCTGTGGTGCAATGTGCTGTGGTGCGGTGTGGTGTGGTGCGGTGTGCTGTTTCCTCGTCGTTACTTATTCTCGTTTGTTTTTGCTTGTACCGCCCACTTTTCTCCCTGCCCTCCCTGCCCATCCCTCTCCCATAGCAGAGGCGTCGTGGGCCATCGCAGCAGTGAACGCGGTGGTGGGAGTGACTGTGGCTATGATTGCGACTCTTGAGACGTCTCAAAGTTCCTTGTCCTCCAACCCCCCCTCTGCCCTGCCCCTCTCATGTAACAGAAGCGTCACGGGCGATCGCGGCAGTGAACGCGGTGGAGGGAGTGACTGTGGCTATGATTGCGATTTTTTAGACGTCTCAAAAGTCCCCCTCCTCCTCCACTCCCCCCCCTGCCCCTTCCCCTCGTCCACCTGCCCCCCTGCCTGCCCCTCTCCTCCTCCACCTGCCCCCCTGCCCATCCCTCCCCCATGGCAGAGGCGTCGTGGGCGATCGCAGCAGTGAACGCGGTGGAGTTGACAATGGCAATGGTTGCAAACCAGCTAGAGTCGTACGACAGTGCATTCAACATCTCCGTGCAGCAGGTGCGCTCAGCACGTTCAGCATGGCTTTTGAGTCGACCCAAAAGTCGCCACGATGGCCGTGATTGCGAATGAGCTAAGAGTCGTACGTCAGTGCCTTCAGCATCTCAGTGCAGCAGGTGCGCTCAGCATGTTCAGCATGTCAGCAGACTCAAAGGCAACGGAAAGCCTTCAACATCTCCGTGCAGCAGGTGCGTTCCGCACGTTCAGCTCAGCACGTTCGGGCACATTCAGCACATTCAGCATGTCAAGACAAAGGCAACGGAAAGCCGTGGTGAAATCGTTTTGAGAATTCTCAACAGTGATTGCAACAGTCCGGCAGGTGCACGTCAGCGCGTCAGCACGTCAGCACGTCAGGACGTCAGCATGTCAGCATGTCAGCACGTCAGCACGTCAGCATGTCAGCATGTCAGCACGTCAGCACGTCAGCATGTCAGCACGTCAGCATGTCAGCATGTCAGCATGTCAGCATGTCTCAGTATGTCAGCACGTCAGCATGTCAGCATGTCTCCGTATGTCAGCATGTCTCAGTATGTCAGCATGTCTCAGTATGTCAGCATGTCTCAGTATGTCAGCATGTCTCAGTATGTCAGCATGTCTCAGTATGTCAGCATGTCTCAGTATGTCAGCATGTCTCAGTATGTCAGCATGTCTCAGTATGTCAGCATGTCTCAGTATGTCAGCATGTCTCAGTATGTCAGCATGTCTCAGTATGTCAGCATGTCTCAGTATGTCAGCATGTCTCAGTATGTCAGCATGTCTCAGTATGTCAGCATGTCTCAGTATGTCAGCATGTCTCAGTATGTCAGCATGTCTCAGTATGTCAGCATGTCTCAGTATGTCAGCATGTCTCAGTATGTCAGCATGTCTCAGTATGTCAGCATGTCTCAGTATGTCAGCATGTCTCAGTATGTCAGCATGTCTCAGTATGTCAGCATGTCTCAGTATGTCAGCATGTCTCAGTATGTCAGCATGTCTCAGTATGTCAGCATGTCTCAGTATGTCAGCATGTCTCAGTATGTCAGCATGTCTCAGTATGTCAGCATGTCTCAGTATGTCAGCATGTCTCAGTATGTCAGCATGTCTCAGTATGTCAGCATGTCTCAGTATGTCAGCATGTCTCAGTATGTCAGCATGTCTCAGTATGTCAGCATGTCTCAGTATGTCAGCATGTCTCAGTATGTCAGCATGTCTCAGTATGTCAGCATGTCTCAGTATGTCAGCATGTCCTCAGTATGTCAGCATGTCTCAGTATGTCAGCATGTCTCAGTATGTCAGCATGTCTCAGTATGTCAGCATGTCTCAGTATGTCAGCATGTCTCAGTATGTCAGCATGTCTCAGTATGTCAGCATGGTCTCAGTATGTCAGCATGTCTCAGTATGTCAGCATGTCTCAGTATGTCAGCATGTCTCAGTATGTCAGCATGTCTCAGTATGTCAGCACGTCAGCATGTCAGCATGTCTCAGTATGTCAGCACGTCAGCATGTCAGCATGTCTCAGTATGTCAGCACGTCAGCATGTCAGCATGTCTCAGTATGTCAGCACGTCAGCATGTCAGCATGTCTCAGTATGTCAGCATGTCTCAGTATGTCAGCATGTCTCAGTATGTCAGCATGTCTCAGTATGTCAGCATGTCTCAGTATGTCAGCATGTCTCAGTATGTCAGCATGTCTCAGTATGTCAGCATGTCTCAGTATGTCAGCATGTCTCAGTATGTCAGCATGTCTCAGTATGTCAGCATGTCTCAGTATGTCAGCATGTCTCAGTATGTCAGCATGTCTCAGTATGTCAGCATGTCTCAGTATGTCAGCATGTCTCAGTATGTCAGCATGTCTCAGTATGTCAGCATGTCTCAGTATGTCAGCATGTCTCAGTATGTCAGCATGTCTCAGTATGTCAGCATGTCTCAGTATGTCAGCATGTCTCAGTATGTCAGCATGTCTCAGTATGTCAGCATGTCTCAGTATGTCAGCATGTCTCAGTATGTCAGCATGTCTCAGTATGTCAGCATGTCTCAGTATGTCAGCATGTCTCAGTATGTCAGCATGTCTCAGTATGTCAGCATGTCTCAGTATGTCAGCATGTCTCAGTATGTCAGCATGTCTCAGTATGTCAGCATGTCTCAGTATGTCAGCATGTCTCAGTATGTCAGCATGTCTCAGTATGTCAGCATGTCTCAGTATGTCAGCATGTCTCAGTATGTCAGCATGTCTCAGTATGTCAGCATGTCTCAGTATGTCAGCATGTCTCAGTATGTCAGCATGTCTCAGTATGTCAGCATGTCTCAGTATGTCAGCATGTCTCAGTATGTCAGCATGTCTCAGTATGTCAGCATGTCTCAGTATGTCAGCATGTCTCAGTATGTCAGCATGTCTCAGTATGTCAGCATGTCTCAGTATGTCAGCATGTCTCAGTATGTCAGCATGTCTCAGTATGTCAGCATGTCTCAGTATGTCAGCATGTCTCAGTATGTCAGCATGTCTCAGTATGTCAGCATGTCTCAGTATGTCAGCATGTCTCAGTATGTCAGCATGTCTCAGTATGTCAGCATGTCTCAGTATGTCAGCATGTCTCAGTATGTCAGCATGTCTCAGTATGTCAGCATGTCTCAGTATGTCAGCATGTCTCAGTATGTCAGCATGTCTCAGCATGTCAGCATGTCTCAGCATGTCAGCATGTCTCAGCATGTCAGCATGTCTCAGCATGTCAGCATGTCTCAGCATGTCAGCATGTCTCAGCATGTCAGCATGTCTCAGCATGTCAGCATGTCTCAGCATGTCAGCATGTCTCAGCATGTCAGCATGTCTCAGCATGTCAGCATGTCTCAGCATGTCAGCATGTCTCAGCATGTCAGCATGTCTCAGCATGTCAGCATGTCTCAGTATGTCAGCATGTCTCAGCATGTCAGCATGTCTCAGCATGTCAGCATGTCTCAGCATGTCAGCATGTCTCAGCATGTCAGCATGTCTCAGCATGTCAGCATGTCTCAGCATGTCAGCATGTCTCAGCATGTCAGCATGTCTCAGCATGTCAGCATGTCTCAGCATGTCAGCATGTCTCAGCATGTCAGCATGTCTCAGCATGTCAGCATGTCTCAGCATGTCAGCATGTCTCAGTATGTCAGCACGTCAGCATGTCAGCATGTCTCAGTATGTCAGCACGTCAGCATGTCAGCATGTCTCAGTATGTCAGCACGTCAGCATGTCAGCATGTCTCAGTATGTCAGCATGTCTCAGTATGTCAGCATGTCTCAGTATGTCAGCATGTCTCAGTATGTCAGCATGTCTCAGCATGTCAGCATGTCTCAGTATGTCAGCATGTCTCAGTATGTCAGCATGTCTCAGTATGTCAGCATGTCTCAGTATGTCAGCATGTCTCAGTATGTCAGCATGTCTCAGTATGTCAGCATGTCTCAGTATGTCAGCATGTCTCAGTATGTCAGCATGTCTCAGTATGTCAGCATGTCTCAGTATGTCAGCATGTCTCAGCATGTCAGCATGTCTCAGCATGTCAGCATGTCTCAGCATGTCAGCATGTCTCAGCATGTCAGCATGTCTCAGCATGTCAGCATGTCTCAGCATGTCAGCATGTCTCAGTATGTCAGCACGTCAGCGGACTTCAAGGCAAGGGAAAGCCTTGGCGCATGCGAAGGTTTCGAGTCGACTCTAAAGTCGGACATTTAGTGTGCGCACCTCCCCACTCTACACTCCCACATTCCACTCTCCACACTCCACACTCCTTCCACTTTCCACACTCCCACATTCCACTTTCCACACTCTACCACACTCCCCACTCCCCACTCCACTCTCCACCACCGTCCCGCACCTCTCCTTCCTCTCCTTCACCGCTTCCAACCCCTCAGGTAGTGGACTGCGAGCCCAGCAGCAGCAGCTGCAAGGGCGGATGGCCCACGTCAGCGCTGAACTGCATACACCAGTGCTTAACCTCTACCACACTCCACACTCCACCACCCTCTTGCACCCCTCCTCCCCCCCCCCCCCTCCTCCTTCTGTTCCCATGCATCCCAACCCAACCCCTCAGGTGGTGGACTGCGAGCCCAGCAGCAGCAGCTGCAAGGGCGGGTGGCCCACATCAGCGCTGGACTACATGGTGGACGCGAGCAACGACCTGGGGGGGGTGGTGCCACAGCTGCAGTATCCCTACAAGGGCAAACAAGCCAAGTGCAATGGGGGGAAGGTAAGAGGGCAAGGGCGAGGGCAGGGACTACATGGTGGATGCCAGTAACGACCTGGGAGGGTTGGTGCCGGAGCTGCAGTACCCGTACAAGAGCAAGCAGGCCAAGTGCAACGCAGGCAATGTGCGTGCGGTGATGCGCGTTTGGTGGGGTGGGGTGGTGTGTTGAGAGCAACGCGGGCAAGGTAGGGGTGATGCGTGCAAAGGTGCAAGGGCAAGTGCGCGCTACGGCTACAAGCAGGTGGACTTGTACGGATGGATTGGGGTTTTGAATAAAGAAGAGAAACGAACCACCCAACCCATTCCCTCCTCCCTCCACCCGCCCCTCTGCCTTCCTCTCCCCCCTCCCCTCCTCTCTTACCCCCCCCTCCTCCCCTTCCCCCCCCCCCCCTCTCCCTCTACCTGTGCTCCCTCTCCCCCCTTCACTGCCTTCCTTCCCCTCTCTCCCGCTCAGATCGCCACCTCATCCACGCCACTGGGTCTGGCGCGCTACGAGCAGGTGGACTTCTACGGGGGTGGATCGGTCTTGGGAAGAAAGACGAATAGAGAATCACCTAACCAGTTCACTGCTCCCTGTACCCCTGTCCAACCCCCCACTTCCTGACCCTCAGATTGCGACCTCATCCACGCCACTGGGCTTGGCGCGCTACGAGCAGGTGGACTTCTACGGCTCTCTCGGGCTGCTGCTGGCAGTGCAGGTGCAGCCAGTCATTCTCTGCTCCCTCTATTCCTCTCTCCCCCCCCCCCCTCCTCCCCCCCAGATCGCCACGTCATCCACCCCACTGGGTCTGGCGCGCTACGAGCAGGTGGACTTCTACGGCTGGATCGGGCTGCTGCTGGCCGTGCAGGTGCAGCCGGTCATTGCCTTTGTGCGCGGCAGCTACCCCTCCTTCCAGAAATACAAATCGGTAAGCTTGATAGGAGTGCAGCAGCATAATCTCGGATAGTGGCTGGATCGGGCTGCTGCTGGCCGTGCAGGTGCAGCCGGTCGTTGCCTTTGTGCGCGGCAGCTACCCCTCCTTCCAGAAATACAAAGCGGAAACTTCTTGGTGTAGCTGTATAATATTTAAAATGACAGGAAAGGAAAGCGTCGCTTACAACCCTGAGTGTGCGCCAGCTGGCGTTGTGGTGTGGTGTGGACCACGCAGTGCTGGTGGTGGGGTATGGGCAATGCGTTGCGCTCACTCTCCCTCACTTTGCATCTCCCTTACACCCCCCTTTCCCCGCTGCACTTCCCCTCAGGGCGTATGTGACGATCCCAAGTGTGCAGCAGCGGGCATCGTGGACCATGCAGTGCTGCTGGTGGGGTGCCAGTCCTCTCCCTCCTCTCCCTCCTCTCCCTCCTCTCCCTCCTCTCCCTCCTCTCCCTCCTCTCCCTCCTCACCTTCCCTCTCTCCCTTTCTATCCCCGAATCACCCCCTTTGTTCACCCTCAGGCCGTCTACGATGACCCGTGTATGTTTTTTGAGAATTCTCAAAAAACATACACTGGTGTGCAGCAGCAGTCATGATGGATCATGCAGTGCTGCTGGTGGGTGGGGTATGCGCTCTCTCCCTTCCTCTTGCCTCCTCCTTACTACCTCTCTCATCCCCCAACCCCCCAACCCTTCAACCCCCCAATCCCCCAACCCCCCGGTAGGGTGTCTACGACGATCCCAAGTGTGCGCCAGCAGGCATCGTGGAGCGTGCAGTGCTGTGCTGGTGGTGGGGTATGCGCTCACTCCCCCTCCCATTGCCTCAACCTTACTCCCCCCTCTCCCCCCCCCCCCCCCACCCCCAACCCCTCCACACCCCTTCCACTTCCTCTCAGGGCGTATATGATGATCCCAAGTGTGCAACAGCGGGCATCGTGGACCATGCAGTGCTCGTGGTGGGGTACGCGTTCACGGGGCCAAATGCGGAGGGCAATTGGATCGTGCGCAACTCGTGGGGCTCCAAGTGGGGCGAGCAGGTGAGGGGAGGGCATGTGAGACATGACATGGATGAGCATGGCATGGCATGTATGAGCATGGCATGGCATGGATGGTATGTCGCATGGGTGTGATGGGCAAGCAGGGCATATGGATCGTGCGCAATCCGTGGGCCAGCAAGTGGGGCGAGCAGGTGAGGGGAGGGTGTAAATGGGAGTTGTGGTTGGCCCCGTCCTCGCTTGGGCGGAGCCGACTTCGTAGTCGGGTGTGTGGGGAGCGCAGCCGATCAGTTGCAGTGAGGGCGCCGAGCTGGAGGGCGCCGAGCTGGAGGGTGCCTAGCTAGAGGGCGCCGAGCAGGAGGACGCCGTCATGGGCGTCTGGACGGCGTCCTGTGAGGCTGGACGCCAACCTGGGCGCCTGGACGGCGTCCTGGGAGGCTGGACGCCGACCTGGGCGCCTGGACGGCGTCCTGGGAGGCTGGACGCCGACCTGGGCGTCTGGACGGCGTCCTGGGCGCCTGGACGCCGACCTGGGCGTCTGGACGGCGTCCTGGGCGCCTGGACACCGACCTGGGCGTCAGGACGGTGCCCTGGGCGCCTGGACGCCGACCTGGGCGTCTGCACGGCGTCCTGGGCACCTGGACGCCGACCTAGGCGTCCGGACGTCGACCTGGGTGCTGGGACACCTCTTATGGGTACGCCGGTCTGGTGTAGCCGGCGTCCGACTGGGCTGGGCGACCAGGCGTGGTTGCCCGGTCGACCGAGTTACCCGGGCGACGTGTGCGATGGTCGCCGGGGTGGTTGCTGCGAGGCCGACCTCGGAAGTGGTATCCCGAGGTCGACGTGGCTGGTAGGCGCAGTCGCTGGCGTGGACTCGACCTGGACGTCTGCGCTGTGCACGTGACAAGGAGTGGTGCACCAACCAGCTGCGCGCACCTGCGAAGCAGGTGCGCCGTTGTCCTGCGGGTGCAACGCTGTGCAGCCGACTTGCTGCAGCGTTGGCACACCGTGGACTTACAACGTTGGCAAACCGCTACTCTGCAACGCTGGAGCGGTGCGAGCTCTGCTGCGCTGGATCGCGGTCGACCATGCTGCGCTGGAGGTCGATCAGCAGCCTAGCTAGCTTTGATGTAGTCTGTGTTGCCAATGTTGAATCACCTATTGTTGTCAACCTTTTGCTAGTGAAACTCTTGCAAAAATCTCCCCGTGAATATGCAAGCAGAGAACATACAAGCAAACAACTAAGGAACGCAGGGATCACCTTCACACCCGTGCCTAGCCCGTAGTCTAGCTCCCGTTGATTAAGTTATCTGCGCATGGTGCGGTGAGCGTGGACGGCACCGCAACGATACCTTCGGTATAGCCGACTTTTGCACTTACCTATCGTGTTCGTAGGCCGGCAGCTGTGCGTTAGTCACCATGGTAGGCGCCGTAGGTGACGCAGGGGTGGCGGACACCCTGGAGGCACGGCTGGAGGATGCGAGGAGACGCCATGAGGCTCACGAGTACGGGGAGACACTCCCCTGGGCGGTCGTCGAGGCTGGCATCCGCGCTGTGTGGGCGACGGAGCACCTTTCTCGACCTGGTTCTCCTCGACCGGTGAACACTGCAGGCGGCGTCGACATGGGCGTCGACGTCGGTGGTGACCAAGTCGGCAGCAGTGCGGGAGGCACGACGAGGCAGAGAGGTGTGATTCACGCCGATGAAGTCGGCGGCGTTCAGGCGCGAGGGATGCAGTCGTCGGCGGCTGCAGGGTCCTCGCAGGGCGACGCCGGAGGTCGACGAAGCGAATTGACGCCGTCGTCGGCGACTCATGTGACAGCGGGCGGGATAGCGCCAAGCTACGGCTACTTCAAGTTTACGCCGGACAGGATCTCTGTCACCCCTCTGCTAGTTGGTCGACCCGACATCCTCACGTGGAAGGAGGCGATCGAGCCCCAGCTGGAGATGGCCGGGCTGAAGTGCTTCGCCGACGGCACCCTGGAGACGCCGCCGGAGAGCAACCCCGAGCTGCGCGCGGAGTTTCGCGTCGTGCAGCTGCTGACCTTCACGGTCATCTCGCGGTGCTGCTCGCCGGGCGTGCAGATCGCCTTGAAGTCGTGCAGGGACTACCTGGACGCCGGCCACCAAGCGTGGCACTTCATCGAGTCGACATACCAGGTCACCAACGACCTGTACATCGGTCAGCTCGAGGAGCAGATCACGCATCTGCGGATGGGCGACCAGGAGACCGCGACCGACTACTGCAACCGTGCGTCGGCGGGAAGTTGGCGCGGCACACCTTCCCCGACCAGGGCTCGGACGCCGAGGATGCACTGGCCGTCGTGCACATCGACCTGTGCGGGCCATTTCGGGTGGCCGCCAAGGATGGCAGCCTGTACTTCCTGTTGCTGAAGGACCGCAAGACCCGCTACGTGTGGGTGAAGCCGGTCGCCAAGAAGTCGGACGTGCTGCAGGAGTTCGTGCAGTGGCTGGCGGAGCGGCAGACGAAGCAGTCAGTGCTGATGCTGCGCTCTGACCGGGGAGGGGAGTTCCTCGGGAAGGAGTTCACCGCCTTCGTGGACGATAAGGGGATCGTCCACGACCTGATCTGCCCGTACACCCCGCAGCAAAATGGCATGGCGGAGCGGGAGATGAGGACGGTGGTGGAGTCGGTGCGGACGATGCTGCTGCACATGGGTGTGCAGCACCACTGGTGGCACCTCGCTCTGCGGCAGGCCGTCTGGGTCCGCAACTGCCTTGAGAGGTCAACGCTGCCGCCCGGGACAACGCCGTACCAGCTGCTCAGCGGGAAGAAGCCCGACCTGTCGCTGGCACGGGTGTGGGGCTGCATGACGCAGTTCTTGGTCCCCGAGCAGCAGCGCGGTGGGAAGCTGAAGCCGAAGGCCAGGTGGGGGCCTTCATCTCGGCGTGTCGGAGGAGAGCAAAGGCTGGGAGCTCCTGGACATCGCCGACAACAGGGTGGTCACCACGTCAGACGTGGTGTTCTACGAAACAATGTCGCTGGAGGTGTGGAAGTCGAAGCATGGCCCGGCGTCGGGACGGACGCAGGTCAACCCACCGACGGACACCTCGACGGCGACGCTACCCCTGCTCGCCGAGGTCGGTGAGCTTGCTGATGAGGACGCCGAGGTCGTCCGCCCTCGTTCCTCTACCCCTGCCCCTCCTGCCCCTCCCCTTGTAGCCGATCTGCGTGGGCTGACTCCGGTGTCGACCGCCGGCGATGAGGGGAGCAGTGGGGCGTCTCCTGTGGCGCCGGCCAAGAGCATCGCCGGTGGCCGACGTGACGTCCAGCAAGTCGGCGTGGGAGTGAAGCAGGCCGAGGAGTTGCAGCCGACTTTGGTGAAGCAGGCGAAGGAGGCATCGGCAGGGCAGCAGCCGACAGGGGAGCAGGCATCAGCGAAGCCGACCAAGGAGCAGTCGGCGACCGGGCAGTCGGCAGGGGAGCCGACCACAGGGGAGCAGTCGGCGGGGACGCCGACCGTGGTGCAGCAGGACGCTGAGGGCAGTGACGCCGGTGAAGATGAAGCCGAGCAGGCGGACCCCGAGGAGCCCACCGACAGCGACGTGGTGGAGGCCCAGCCTGGACCACGGGGTACAGGCCGGCTTCGGAGGCTGCCCGACTTCTTCGTACCGGCCGCCTTCACCACGGTGTACGACGAGGTCGACGACGACCTGCTCTACGACGACGCCGAGGAGGATGAAGACCCGCCGGAGCTCGACCCTGACATGCACGCCGACCCCGAGCACCGTTGGGACATTGCCACGATGACGGTGAAGGAGGCGTTGACAAGCTGGAAGGGCAAGGCGGTGAAGGCCGCCATGGAGGAGGAAATCCGCAGCCTCATCGGCATGGGAACCTGGGAGCTGGTCGAACGCCCACCTGGGGTGAACATCATGAAGAACCGGTGGGTGTTGACGACGAAGTACCGCATCGACGACACCGTCGAGCGCGAGAAGGCGAGGCTGGTCGTGAAGGGCTTCACGCAGGTGTATGGCGCCGACTACGACGAGACGTACGCGCCGGTGAGCAGCTACGTCACGCTGAGGATCTTCCTCAGCATCGTCGCCGTCCTCGACCTCAACCTGATGCAGCTCGACATGAAGAACGCTTTCCTGCAGAGTAAGCTCGACCGTGTGCTGTACATGTCCCAGCCGGACCACTTCAACGACGGAACCGGCCGGGTGTGCAAGCTGCTGAAGAGCCTCTACAGGCTAAAGCAGTCGCCGCTGCTGTGGTACAGGGCTCTCGACGGTGTGTTGCTGGGCGCTGGCTGGAAGAAGAGCCAGGTCGACACGGCGCTCTACTTCAAGGTCGGCGAGGATGGCGTGGCCTGCTGGGTGCTGGTCTACGTCGACGACCTGCTGGCCGCCAGCAGCAGCACGGCCATGCTGAAAAAGCTGAAGGAGCTGAAGGAGCTGCTGGAGGCCGCCTTCGAGCTACGGGAGATCTCGCCAGTGCAGAAGTACCTCGGGCTGGAGATCGTGCGCGACAGGTCGGCGAGGAAGATGTGGCTGCACCAGCAGGGCTACGCCGACAAGCTGCGCAGGCGGTTCATCGACGAGGAGCAGACCGGGCGCACCCCGAAGACTCCGGTCTCGGTCGATGCCTACGCCGAGCTCACCTTCGATGACGAGGAGGCGCAGGAGCGCCAGGAGGAGGAGTACCGGCAGAAGGTCGGCTCGCTGCAGTTCGCGGCGACGACGACGAGGCCGGACATCGCCTTCGCCTGCAGCAAGCTGGGCAGTGGCCTCACGGTGGGGAGCGACCAGCATTGGCGCAAGGTCGACCGCTGCCTCGCCTACCTCGCCAACACACGTGACACCGCCCTGGAGTTCGGCGGTGGACCTGAGTCGCTGAAGCTGGTCGGCTACGTGGACGCCGACGACGCCGGCGACAAGCAGAACCGGACGAGCACAGGCGGCTACGTGTTCGTCTACGGAGGGGCCGCGGTCTCCTGGTCGAGCCAGCGCATCAAGTGCGCGACGCTGTCGTCGACCGAGTCGGAGTACGTGGCGGCCACTGAAGCCGACAAGGAGGGACGCCGCCTTCGTTTCCTCCTCGCAGAGTTCCGGCAGCTGGACGCCGGGACGCCGACCGTCCTTCGGGTGGACAACAAGTCGGCCATCACGGTCGCCGAGGGCATGGGGTTGACGGGCAACCTCAAGCACATGGAGCGGCGACAAGTCTGGCTGCAGCACATGGTGAAGCGCGGGAAATTCACGATGGAGTACATCCCGACCACCGAGCAGCCGGCCGACTTCCTGACGAAGGCGCTGCACTACCCGGCCTTCAATCAGTGCTCCGTTGCAATCGGCCATGTGCGCCTGGTCGACGTGGGCGACGGTGACGACGACGTGCAGCAGTAGGTGCCATGCCCTTTTGCATGGCTGGTGCGGTGATCGGCGTGCTGTGTGTTGTGTGCACGCCGACGGGCTATTCTCTGAGTGGTACTGCCGTGTTGGCTGGGGGCCCAAGCGTGAACGCGGTAAGGGAGTGTCAACGGGAGTTGTGGTTGGCCCCGTCCTCGCTTGGGCGGAGCCGACTTCGTAGTCGGGTGTGTGGGGAGCGCAGCCGATCAGTTGCTGTGAGGGCGCCGAGCTGGAGGGCGCCGAGCTGGAGGGCGCCTAGCTGGAGGGCGCCGAGCAGGAGGACGCCGTCATGGGCATCTGGACGGCGTCCTGTGAGGCTGGACGCCAACCTGGGCGCCTGGACGGCGTCCTGGGAGGCTGGACGCCGACCTGGGCGCCTGGACGGCGTCCTGGGAGGCTGGACGCCGACCTGGGCGTCTGGACGGCGTCCTGGGCGCCTGGACGCCGACCTGGGCGTCTGGACGGCGTCCTGGGCGCCTGGACACCGACCTGGGCGTCAGGACGGTGCCCTGGGCGCCTGGACGCCGACCTGGGCGTCTGCACGGCGTCCTGGGCACCTGGACGCCGACCTAGGCGTCCGGACGTCGACCTGGGTGCTGGGACACCTCTTATGGGTACGCCGGTCTGGTGTAGCCGGCGTCCGACTGGGCTGGGCGACCAGGCGTGGTTGCCCGGTCGACCGAGTTACCCGGGCGACGTGTGCGATGGTCGTCGGGGTGGTTGCTGCGAGGCCGACCTCGGAAGTGGTATCCCGAGGTCGACGTGGCTGGTAGGCGCAGTCGCTGGCGTGGACTCGACCTGGACGTCTGCGCTGTGCACGTGACAAGGAGTGGTGCACCAACCAGCTGCGCGCACCTGCGAAGCAGGTGCGCCGTTGTCCTGCGGGTGCAACGCTGTGCAGCCGACTTGCTGCAGCGTTGGCACACCGTGGACTTACAACGTTGGCAAACCGCTACTCTGCAACGCTGGAGCGGTGCGAGCTCTGCTGCGCTGGATCGCGGTCGACCATGCTGCGCTGGAGGTCGATCAGCAGCCTAGCTAGCTTTGATGTAGTCTGTGTTGCCAATGTTGAATCACCTATTGTTGTCAACCTTTTGCTAGTGAAACTCTTGCAAAAATCTCCCCGTGAATATGCAAGCAGAGAACATACAAGCAAACAACTAAGGAACGCAGGGATCACCTTCACACCCGTGCCTAGCCCGTAGTCTAGCTCCCGTTGATTAAGTTATCTCCGCAGAGGGCATGTGTGACACAACATGGATGAGCATGGCATGGCATGCATGGTATGTCGCATGGGTGTGATGGGCAAGCAGGGCATCTGGACTGGATCGTGCGTGCGCAACTCGTGGGGCAGCAAGTGGGGCGAGCAGGTGCGGTGTGGATGGCATGTGTGACATGGATGTGTGATGGCATGGCATGGATGTGGCGGCATGGCATGATGGCATGTGGCTTGTGATGGCATGGGTGTGATGGCATGGCACGGATGTGATGGCATGGCATGGCACGGATGTGATGGGCCCTCATTCCCATCCCCTCCCCCCCATTCCCCCTCATTCCGTCTTCCCCCATTCTTCTCCCCCCCTATTCCCCCTCTCCCCCGCTCCCTGCCCATCAGGGCCATATGAGGATGGCTTTCGCGGGAAGCGTTGGCATCTGCGGAATCCATTCAGTGCCGGCTATCTACCCCATTATTCAGGGTGAGTTTCAACATTTACCCTTTCATTCAGGGTATGTTACACCATCGACCCTACAATTCAGGGTGAGTTACACCATTTACCCTGTCATTCAGGGTATGTTACACCATCTACCCTGCAATTCAGGGTGAGTTACACCGTTTACCCTTTCATTCGGGGTGAGTTGCCATCGAGCTTGCGATCCAGAATGGACACCCTCTCCTCTCCTGTGTGCTGTCATCTCCTCTTTTTTTTTTTAAGGTTGATTTTGATTCTCAAAATCGACCTCTCCTGTGTGCTGGTTTCTCCTCCTTTGCAATCCAATCTGCTACAAATGTGATTCAGTCCCTCCCGTTTCTCTCCTCCTCCCCATTCCTCCCCTCCTCCCCTCCCCCCCCGCTCCCCCTCCCTTCCCCCAGTGCCATCGCCCTGTGACTCGCCTCAGAAGCCCTGTGGCGGCGGCTCTTGTCCCCCTGTGACTCGTTCCCCCTCCACCCCCCTCCCCCTCCCCTTCCCCCCATCACCCTCCCCGCTCCCCCTCCCTTCCCCCAGTGCCGTCCCCCTGTGACTCGCCTCAGAAGCCCTGTGGCGGCGGCGCTTGCATGCCATCTCCTCCTTTGCACCCATCAATCTGCAAAGGTTCCTCCTAACTAGTGCCAACTCACTACCCTCCATTCCCCTCCAATCCTCCCCACACCTTCCCCCCATCACCCTCCCCCCATCCCCTTCCCTCGCTCCCCTCCCCCCCAGTGCCTTCCCCCTGTGACTCGCCTCAGAAGCCCTGTGGCGGCGGCGCTTGCACCTCTGTGACTCGTTCCCCCTCCACACAACCCCCCCCCCCCCCCCCCCAACCTTCCCCCCATCACCCTCCCCGCTCCCCCTCCCTTCCCCCAGTGCCTTCCCCCTGTGACTCGCCTCAGAAGCCCTGTGGCGGTGGCGCTTGCGTGCCCGAAGAGGGCGCCTACTCTTGTCAGTGTCCGGCGGGCTTTGTCAGTTACACCAACGACGACGGCACCGCGACTTGCGCCCCTTGTGAGTCATGTGTATGTGTGCGTGTGAGATTGTTGCCTTCTGGTTGTGCATGCGCTGGCATGCACCATCCATGTGTCTGCGATCCTCGTTCCCTGCTCCCCCTTCTTACCTCCCCCCTCCTTCCGCCCGTTCCCTTCTCCCCCTTTTTAACCCAGTGGACGCGTGTGGCACGCAGGCGTCCAATCCATGCCTCACAGGCACATGCATCAACGACAATGCGGGTGGCTACTTTTGTCTTTGCCCCCCGGGGTATGATAAGGGCAGCCTCACGCTCGGATGGGAGACCTGCACACCTTGTGAGTGGAATGCTGCCCAGCTGTGCCGCCCGGCCTTTTCGTTGCCGCCCAGTTGTGCCGCCCGGAGAAGCACACGTTCATATGGGCATGCTTGCACATGGGTTGCTTGCATGTGGGTATGCTTGCATGTGGGCATGCGTGCATGTGGGTATGCTTGCATGTGGGTATGCTTGCACGTGGGTATGCTTGCGCATGGGTATTCATTCACGCACATACACACGTACGCCTCACATGCACATGCACCTTTGTGTTCCTACACATCGTCCTTGCTTGAGTTCTACTCGTCCTGCTCGTCCACCTTTTCACTCATCATTACTCAGCCTCGCGTCCCCCTCCCTCACCACGCCCACTCCCCCGCGTCACATCTTCCCCTTTCTTTCTCCAACTACCACTCTCCCACCCGTTGTTAACCCCCTTTCACCTATCCCCCCCCCCCCCCTCCTTGCTCCAGCCTCATCCCCCCCCACCACGCTCACCTTCACAATGGACGTGGACTGTCGACTTGTCTACCAGCTCTTCCTTTCTCCAACCCGCACTCCCCACCCGTTAACTCCCTTGCACTTTTCCCCACACCCCGCCCCGTCCCACCAGCCTCGTCCCCCCCCACCACGCTCACCTTCCCAGTGGACGTGGACTGCCCTCTCGTCTACCAGCTCTTTCTTTCTCCAACTCATTACTCCCACTCCCCAACCCCCTCTTACCTTTCCCCCCTCCCCATCTCCAGCCTCGTCCCCCCCCACCACGCTCACCTTCCCAGTGGACGTGGACTGCCCGCTCGTCTACCAGCTCTACGGCCTCACAGAGGAGGCCTTCCTCGCTCAGAACTCCGAACTGGTGAGCTCTCTCGTTTGAGGCGCCTGAACCTCTTCAGTTCTGGAAGCCTGTTCCTTTTCACCTTCTTCATTGCGCTCGTCTACCAGCTCTACGGCCTCACAGAGGAGGCGTTCCTCGCCTCACAGGAATTCCGGACTGGTGAGCTCCCTCGTTTGGTGGGCTTCCATCCCACTCACATGTGCTCCCTCCCCCCCTCCCCTCTCTCTCCTCCCCCCACCCTCTCCCACCAGGCCTCCCCATGCGCCACCATCCCAGCCAACACCGAAATCAACGTGGCTCCCACGTCCACCTGCGTCGCATGCAGCCTCTTCTACTCCTGGACCAACGACGACTCCTGCTCAGCTGTAGCAGACCTCTTTGGAATCGACGAGACCGAGTTGACTCGCTTGAATCCCGGCCTCGACTGCTCCGGCAGCGAGTCCTGCCACGCGCCCTCTCCCGGCCAGCAGGTGGGTTGGAAACGGTTGAAAGCAGCTTTAACCGCATACCGGGAATCAGCAACTTGTAATTTTCGGGTCTTGACTGCTCTGGCAGCGAGTCCTGCCTGCCATGCGCCCTCTCCCGGCCAGCAGGTGGGTCATGAAACGCAAAGAAAAGCCACAGCCGTCATTTGAGATGCCTTGACTTGTCTAGGCTTGATTGATGTGGTCTTGACTTCTCTGGTCTTGACTTGTCTGGTCTTGACTGCGCTGGACTTCACGTAAGCTGTTGTGCTAAAAGCTAGCTAGTTCACGTAAGGATCTGTACAACAGTTGATTGATGTGGTCTTGACTTCTTTGGTCTTGACTTCTCTGGTCTTGACTTCTCTGGAATCCACCCATCCCATGTGTGTGCGGTGGGAGAGCGAGTGAGCCAGCATAATCCCATCCCTTCCCCCTTCGCCTTCCCCTTTTCTCATTTACCCTCCTCCATTCCCCCTCCCTCACTCACAGTCGCAGATCTGTGTGCGAGAGGGCGATGGGATGGTCTACCCGATGTGCTCATGGTGGGAGGCCGAGCGAGCAGAGCAATCACCCTCCCATCCCTTCCCCTTTCTCCATCCCCCCGTCTCCATCCCCCCTTTCCCCATTCCGCAGATCTGTGTGCGAGAGGGCGATGGGATGGTCTACCCGATGTGCTCATGGTGGGAGGCCGAGCGAGCAGAGCAATCACCCTCCCATCCCTTCCCCTTTCTCCATCCCCCCGTCTCCATCCCCCCTTTCCCCATTCCGCAGATCTGTGTGCGAGAGGGCGATGGGATGGTCTACCCGATGTGCTCATGGTGGGAGGCCGAGCGAGCAGAGCAATCACCCTCCCATCCCTTCCCCTTTCTCCATCCCCCCGTCTCCATCCCCCCTTTCCCCATTCCGCAGATCTGTGTGCGAGAGGGCGATGGGATGGTCTACCCGATGTGCTCATGGTGGGAGGCCGAGCGAGCAGAGCAATCACCCTCCCATCCCTTCCCCTTTCTCCATCCCCCCGTCTCCATCCCCCCTTTCCCCATTCCGCAGATCTGTGTGCGAGAGGGCGATGGGATGGTCTACCCAATGTGCTCGTGGTGGGAGGGTGTGAAAGTGAAACCAGGGGACACATGTGCTACTCTCATGCAGCGCTACAACCTCTCCTGCCATGGCTTGCCTTCCCCTTACACCCAATCTCCCTTCCCACAGATCTGTGTGCGAGAGGGCGATGGGATGGACTACCCAATGTGCTCGTGGTGGGAGGGTGTGAAGCCAGGGGACACGTGTGCTGCTCTCATGCAGCGCTACAACCTGCCCGCCCTCGCCTTCTTCTGGCTCAACCCCGGCCTCGCATGTGACAACCTCTTCCCCAACGGCATGGACATCACAGGCGTGCAGGTGACACCCGGGGGAGGTGGTTACTTGTGCCTGCGTGCAGGTAGCAACTGGTATTAGGGAGGGAGGGAGTAGCCACCCTCATGCAGCGCTACAACCTGCCCGCCCTCGCCTTCTTCTGGCTCAACCCCGGCCTCGCGTGTGACAACCTCTTCCCCAACCGCATGGACATCACCAGGGCGCAGGTACAATCGCGGGGAAGAGTATTTACTGTCATGTAGGTGATATGGCGGCAGGTGTCGACTGGCGTGTAGGCCTCGCATGTGACAACCTCTTCCCCAACGGCATGGATATTACCGGGGCGCAGGTGAGACTTGGGGGAAGTAGTCACAGGTGAGACGACACCTGCGGGAGAGGAGTACTGGTGGTAGGGAGGGAGGGAGTAGGTAGCCTCATGGGGCGCTACAGCCAGGGGACACGTGTGCTGCCCTTCTTCTGGATGAACCCGGGCCTCGCGTGTGATAACCTCTTCCCCAACGTGCAGTGAGGTGAATTTTGAGGCGCCTCAAAATTCACCTCGCTACAGCCAGGGGACACGAGTGCTGCCCTTCTTCTGGATGAACCCGGGCCTCGCGTGTGATAACCTCTTCCCCAACGGCATGGGGATCACCGGAGTGCAGGTGACACTTGGGGGAGGTGGCTTCTGGAGTGCAGGTGACATTGGGGGCAGGTGTTTACTGGCGTGCAGGTGACAACCAGGGGAGGTGGTATGCTGGAAGGTGGCTTGCTACTACTGGCGTGCAGGTGATATTGGAGGGAGGTGTCTACTGGCGTGCAGGTGATATCGGAGGGAGGTGTCTACTGGCGTGCAAGTGGCTCTTACCGTTTGATCCGGTGCCTTTGGCCCATCCCATTGCGTGTCCCGCACCTAGTCTTTTCTCTCCTCAACCCTGTCACCGCACCCCATCTCACTGAACCCCCTCTCACCGCTCTTCATCTCACGGCACCCAAATCCACCCCTCTGTCACCCAGGTGTGCCTCTTCGCGTACATCTACAACAGCTCTTCCAGTGCCAGCTACCGATCCTACTCGCTCACCCAGCCACTCCACACCCAGCAGCACCGCACCCAGCCGCAGCCCACCGCTCTTCCCCTCCCATTGGCACCCCACTCACTGGGAAAGCTCACTCCACACCAGGGCTCCACCATACAACGCACCTCACCGCACCAAACTGTTCTCCAGCAGTCCCCTTGGAAACGCGTCTGGTCAGCAAACCACCCCACAGGCAAGCCACCCTTCAAGCTCCCCCCGTGGCAGCAACCTTTGTGGCAGCAGCGGCGGGCGAGGCTAGTTAAAGCCGGAGTGCTTCGGGTCTCCCCGGCTGCGGTGTCGAAGCGGCGGTGCCTGGCGTTCTACTCGGTGACGAGGGGGGACTTCTGTGCGCGCATCATATCGCTCAAGTTCCAGAACAGTGCGAGGAAGATGGCAGAGCTGAACAACGGATACGTGTGCAACAATGATAGGCTCTATGTGGGGCTGAGCCTCTGCACGCGGAGGTAGCAGACAGGCTCATTGTTGGGGAAGAAGCGGAGGATGGCAGAGGTGTATGGGCGGAGCTGGATAGCGGGTATGTGTGCAACGATGACAGGCTCTATATGGGGTTGAGGCTTTGCACGCGGAGGTAGCAGACAGGCTCGTTGTTGGGGAAGAAGCGGAGGATGGCAGAGGTGTATGGGCGGAGCTGGATAGCGGGTATGTGGGCAACAATGGTCGCCTCCACGTGGGGCTGAGCTTCTGCACGCGGAGGTAGGAGTGCCTTTGTTGGGCCGATGGCGGAGCGGAATAAAGGCTACTTGTGCACCGATGAGCCGATGATGACCACCTCTGTGTGGGTTTGAGTAGAGCCTCTTAGCTAGGAAAGGGGGGCTCTTGATTACCAGTAGAGCCGTTGATTGCGAGGAAGGGGATCTTAGTTGCTAATGCACTGCACTGCACTGCACTGCACTGCACTGCGCGCGCGCGCGCGTGCGTGCGTGCGTGCGTGCGACGATGACCGCCTTTATGTGGGGCTGGCTAACTGAGGCCTTGCACGGGCAGCCGGTGGGAGGCTTGCACATGGCACGCACGCATGCACATGGGTCTGTTGTTCTTACAGGGAGCGTGCCGTGCCATGCCGTGCCATGCCATGTGCCCCACATAAAGGCGGTCATCTCTGTCAATGATATAGAGGCGTCTGTGAAACTGATGATGAGACATGGGGGCTACCTTTGAACAGAGGGTATGCAGATGACAGCTCTATTTAAGGCTCTCCTGCTCAGCGTGGCGTGGCTCTCCTGGGTTTATTTTTGCTGATGGGACCCGGCATTCCTGGCTTGAGTATGGGTTTCTTTAAGTTGGGTTGATTTGCATGTTGCACTGGGTATGTGTGTGACTGACTGGCGTAGTTAGGCTTTGCGCCTGCCATTTTAGGACAGGGAGTCTGTTAGTACTAGGTTCATTTGTGTGATTAGCTGATGTCAAGTGATAGTGTTTTATTGTGCTGTACAGTGCATTGGTTAAGTGTGTAAGATCTGATTGGTTGGCTTGGCACTGTGTGAGGCTGAGGGAGCTACACCAGCCCAGCTTGATAAATCACCCAGCAGTTACACCATTTGAGTCATGATATGAAGCTCTCTAGTCGACTTCAGAATTCTCGTTTGATAAATCACCCAGCATTCACAGCATTGAGTCATGATCAGCATTCACTTCCCTTCCCCCCCTCCGCCGCCTCCAATTCTAAATTTCATTCCAACTCCTGGGAATTTACGGTATGAGTCAGATAGAGTCACGCCTCACGCCTCTCTCTACAGCCGGGCTGAAGCTTCATCTCATCCTCACTCCCGCCTGACCTCCCACTGCTCCCACCCGAGCTGCCATTCCTCCCATCCCTCATCATCCACTTCTGCCAGTCCCGCAGCTCCTTCTTTCCAATAGAGGCCAGATGCACCTCATCTGGACCGCCGTCGATGTGCCGAGTGCCGGCTGCCACCCACAGGCGGGCAAGAAAAAAATCCGAGCTCAACCCCCCTCCCCCCCCTTCCCCCCTTCTGCCCTCCACCTCCAATCCAGAACCCATGCAGCGACTCTCGCTACAAGCGAGCTGAAGCTCCTCTCTCACCCCCACCCGCGCTGCCACTCCTGCCACCCCCCATCATCCTCTGTTGCCAGTCCCGCAGCTCCTTCTTCCCAATGAAAGCCAGATGCACCTCGTCGAGATAGTCAACAACTCATAAGTTGAATTTAACAGCAACTCTCTCTACAACCGGGCCGAAGCTCCACCCTTACCCGAGCTGCCACTCCTCCCATACCTCATCATCTTCCTCTGCCAGTCCCGCAACTCCTTGTTCCCGATGGAGGCCAGATGCGCCTAATCTGGACCGTCGGCTATGCGCAGAGTGCGGGCTGCGACCCACGGGCGGGCAAGAGGGAAACCCGAGCTCACTCCCCCCTTTCCACCCACCGCCTCCAAATTTGAATCCACGTGGACCCCAGTTTTTCCAGTTCTCTATAACCGGGCTGACGCTCCACGATTACCCCAGCTGCCACTGCTCCTAACCCTCATCATCCCCGTCTGCCAGTCCCGCAACTCCTTCTTCCCAATGGAAGTCAGGTGCACCTCATATGGACCGTCGCCGATGCGCAGAGTATGAGCTGATATTGGGGGGGAAGTGTGAACTGGCGTGCAGGCGATATTTGGGGGGGAGTGTCAACTGGCATGTAGGTGATATTGGAGGGGGCGGGGGGGGGGGGGGGGGGGGGGGGGTGTCAATTGGCGTGCAGGTGATATTGGGGGGGAGTGTCAACTAGTTTGCAAGTGATATTGGGGGGGGGGGAGAGTATCAACTGGTGTGCAGGTGATATTGGGGGAGGAGTGTCAACAAGCGTGCAGGTGATATTGGGGGGGAAGTGTCAACTGGCGTGCAGGTGATATAGGGAGGGGGGGTGTCAACTAGCGTATAGGTGATATTTGTTAGAGTTACTTAGCGCAATGTCTAGAATAGTAAGGAGAGCGACGCAAGTAGGAATGTCGAGAGAATTCCTGTACCAAATACTATGCATCTAACTGCAGCTTAACATATCTAATGGCTGTCAGGATCCCACATTGACGGCGGAGCGCAACTCACTTCGGCAGTCGATGGCAAACGCTCCTGCACAAGCACCAGCACAAACCCCAACCGAAGCACCCATCATCATCACCTCGGTGACGCCTTCAGCGACCCGACACGACAGCGTGGGACACCGCTAAGCCGCAGCCAGTGACGGCGCCACCAACACGTGCCGGGCATGGAGCGAACCAGAGAAGCACCGCACGTAAACACACCCCGCGACAACCCTCGTCATGTGAGCATTGCGGCTACATTCGGCAATAATGACGTCACCATGCCAATGCCACTCAAGCCGCAGCGCCCGCCTTGTTTCGACCCAAGCCAGCGCGCAGGTCTGACGGTTCAATCGTGGGTGTTCACGTTGAACTTTGTTTTTAACGCGAATTACGTCATGTCGGATGACACCGTCTCTCTGCTGCGTGGGACAGCCAAGAACTGGTGGCGAGTATTTGTTACCTCGCGGAGCGACTACAAGCCACTGCCGCAAAGAGAAAGGCCCTCGAGGCTAACTGTTACCTGGAACACTTCGTTCTACGAAATTTCCCAATGCGGCACGTGGGATGTGTGGTGCGCAGAGCTATGGGCGGGCTTTGAGCCAATCACGGCTTCGATTTCAGCATGCTAGAAGCTGTGCACCTGGCGACAACTGGGGTCAGTTCAAGACTACACCAGCGGTTTTCTCGTGCTGTGCGAATAGGCCGGCTACATGCACGAAGCGGCGCAAGTGGATCGCAACGTCGTGGGCTTGAAGCCATAAATTTCGCAGGAGATTATCCGACGCGAGATCGCGAATTTCAACGAAATCTTGGCACTCGCTGTGCGAACAGACCGAGGCAGGGGTCCTATCACTACAGAAAACACACTGGGGGAACGACCGAGCACGCCACGGTACATGCCGCTGCGACGAATGAAGCTCTCACGCCGTTTCAAGGACGCTGCTTCGCCGTTTCAATGATGTGACCCACTGCTCGCCCGACCCCACTGCTTCTCACTCAGTGCTTCACACCATCGATTGGGTTCGGCTGAATATGGAGGGTAAAAAAAAAATGTATGTACTGATTAACGAGAAAATACAGCGGACAACAGTGAAGGTTTTTATCGACGGAGGGGCTTGTCGCAGTTTAGTTGATACCGCGACAGTGAGGAAGATGCAACTGACACTTTGCCACTGTTTACCTGGGATCGACGCACGACTGGTCTGAAGGCACACTACTGGCAATACGGGAAAATGTGGACAGGGAGATTGGCTATGACGGCATAACCTGCGAAATGACTGGACGACATGTAGCTGCACTGTGCGAAGCGGGGGTAACTGGGTCTCGCTACCTCGCTGGCCATCACCTGAGTCTTCAACGATCCACGTCAATGCCATCACAATGAAACGGGCTGTCGCACGAGGAGCTGTGTGCACGCTGTGGACATAAGGGAAATATGAGGAGCAAAAAAGCCGAGTGTTTTCTTTTCAGAAATTGTTGGCAGTCGTACGGACTGAACTGAGAGAATTACTGAAATGGTTCCCATCAATCTTTCCCGACGATTTACTCGAAGGACTGCCACCCCAACGATCGCACGACCAGAACCAGGGGCACAACCAACCGTACAAAAGCAATTTCGTCTGAAGCAGCCGGAGCTGGAGGAACTCAAGAAGCAGTTATATTATTTTCTCGAGATAGAAATCATCTGACAGAGTTCGTCGTCGTTCGCCGCACCGATTCTGTTCACACTGAAAAAAGACAGAGGTATTCGCAGGTGCATTACCAAGCACTGCATAGGGTTACAGTCAAATTGCGTATCCCATCCCCCGCGCCGATGAACTGATCGTCCAACTGCAAACAGCTCTCTCTCTCTCTCTCTCTCTCTCTCTCTCTCTCTCTCTCTCTCTCTCTCTCTCTCTCTCTCTCTCTCTCCCTCTCTCTCTCTCTCTCTCTCTCTCTCTCTCTCTCTCTCTCTCTCTCTCTCTCTCTCTCTCACTCTCCATTTTGCTTACGCGGAGGTTACCATCAGATTCGAGTCGAACCAACAGACTACACCAAGACATCATTTAGAACTAGGTACGTGTCATTCGAGTACACGGTGATGCCTTTCTGGCTGACCCACGCGCCTTCCACTTTTCAAATGACCATGAACGAGGCTTTTAAGCCACTTTTAGATAACTGCGTGATCATCTACTTAGATTATATCCTAGTTTATACGGGGGACGTGCAGCAGCATTTAGCCGACTTGGAAGCAATTTTTTTTTCATTTAAACGAGCACCGCATACTGACAAATGCTTCCAAGTGCAAGTTTTTTCAAGCCCGTTTAGAGTTTCATGTCACGTTATTTTAGAGGCTGGAGTGGAAATTGACCCAAAGAAGATGGCACCCCCCCGACGAATATCACAGAGTTGCAGAGTGTTTTTGGGTTTGTTAGTTATG